CCATTTCTTTAAATTACATTTATTTCAACAATGGTTGTCACAGTGTAAGGCTTGCTTATCGCTAACGAGAGGGCACCCACATAACTTACACTGGACAGGGGGTTCTTTCACTGCTAGTATGGGGTAGACAAGACAATAGCACTGGAAATGAAATACATACACCAAAATATCGAGTTAAAGTTCCTGGCTTTAGTACTTCTCAAAATAATTACAAAAAATAAAGCACAGAAAAATACAATGAATAAATATAGTATAATATAGGGGACAGCTTAGGGAAGTGTGCATTGGTGATAACTCACAGTTTCGGGATGTAATAATATACGACAGTCAATTCTACAACACAACAACGAAGAAATACAGGAGTCTTGCTTGCAAGGGAACGCTGGTATTTTGGAGGGCATCGATGAAAGTAGGAGATCGCAGAGCAGTTCATACAAGTCTCACAGAATGATGGTTGAATCCTGTATTACCTGATTCACAATATCGCAGTAGCTACATACAGGAATACTAAGTTGAAATGATGGACCTAAAATGTCCCCAGTCTGTCAAATTTATAGCCATGATTCAGTGACACCACCTGGGTTTCCATATGAGGCAATCAGAATGTAATCTTGCTAGCAGCTGTGTCAGGTAGGCAACTCAGTAAATCATAAATCTCATTTCTTATTCAAATAACAGCACATCTGGTAGATTTCAATTCCCCTTCCAAAGTTGTAAACACCCTTTGTTATATAAATCACAAGCATACCTGGTAGATTTCAAATATATCCTTCCAGAGTTGAAAACAAGTATGACCTGTCAATCACTTGTATGACAGTTATCACAAGGCAATGCACACCGGTTTCTCCCACGATTCCATGCACACTTCCATTTGCAGGGTTTTAGGTAATATAACAAAAACATAGAATAAAGGATGCGGACAATGGCGTGCATCTGATATGCAGAATTGACGTATCATATCTATTTGCCACCCTTATATCGTTTAACTTCGACACCACGAAGATGGCCACCATGTACGCATGCTTATGATGCTGTCAAGCTCGTTACGGTCAACAATAAAAAAATAGTCAATGCTCAGCGTTTATACTTTCACTCGCATAAATGATGCTACTAATACGTGGCAATAGTAAGATAATAAATTTAAGACGATGCATCACTGCGTGCAAAACCTGATGACCACACCACTTGTAACGCAAAATAAAACTTCTGTATATGCCGACTAATTTACATTTCCTCATATGAACGAGGCCGGTTAGACAAGGAAAGTCGGAACTTGTATTATCTAAAATAAATGTGTACGGCGCATGGGTACACATTTACAGCACGATTTTGACATTTTTCTTAAAGAACTGTAAAAGAGCCACGAAGAATCCAGTAAATTAATTCGTACCGAGTCACATGTAACATTATTGGTCCGTCATCGGCAACTTTAAAGATCGTCTGGTTCGAGTCTCATTCCTGTTACATTTACCATCATATGTTGCGCTATTTCCGGGATACACTCTTTATTACCAAGTAACAGTAAACAATACTAAACACAGTATTCATTTCATTAAAACAGACCAGGGGTATTTCTGGCTCGTACTCTCTGTGGCAACTTTTTAAATTTGCGAACAAAATTTTTATTTTCTTCGTTGAATCCGCTATGTGATAATGAGAAAAGCTGACGCAATCTGTTTCAGCGGCTTAACGTCACGTGACGTGATTGACAGCAGTTAATTATTCAAGCTTAGTAGCGCGTCTCTTTTCCCGGTTTTTGTTTTTGACAATTATCTGACAAAATCTCAACTCGTACACTAATTATTGTCATAAATGCTAACTGTTGTGTTATCCACAGTCACATACATCCACTTCGGCACGACATAATCGATCTGTAAGTTTGAGAAAATACGTCTTTACCGGAGCTTGGCTGGAGCTGTTTACTGTAGCATGACTTTCAAGCAAAGAATCCCTATTGTTTAGAAGCGTATGTATAGTATACCTGGGCTTTTAACCTATCCCATTTAGCGACAGAAAAGTGTTCCTGGCATGGAGTCCTTAGCCATTTTTAGATAGGACTAGGAATTTCAATATTTTGAAATAAACACAAGGCAGCTATCGATTTCTGGCGGACCAGATTTTTACCATATTACACCAGTAAGGTAGGTATTGTAAATAAGTCTCCACTGCAGATTCCCCTTATTTTTGTGAGAGGTGAAATGTATCAACACCTGAATTCGTTCTTTTCTTTTCATGCAGTGATAGGAAATCGCACAAGTTTTCCTGCCAGAATTTTTAAGACAGGACTAACAATCTATCAATTCTGCCTTTCTCTAAATTATAAAGTAGTTTGTAGTGTTGTATATGTGTAAACAACTGGAATTAACGTTATTCACTAACATTATCATTCACGTTTTTTCAATTGCAATTACAAAACTTATCTGAATTTTGCGTGTTTTGAAACTTCCAAAAGCAAAGACATAAGTTTAAATTATATACGTAAACTATCTTGGTGCGTAATCAGAAATTTATTTCAATATATTTACATTCTTACCCCCACATTAGCAACATCAACTGACCATGTGAGAAATACATTGGTTGCATTGAGATTTGTTTCAAAACTATACAATGCATTTATAGCCTGTAGCAAAAACCTTCCCATTCATATTCTTTATAAAAGTGGCTATAATTATA